GCAAGAGGACAACGTACCCAGGCGGAACAGAGCCGGCCGCTGTTATTAGTGAAAACTAGCTGTACAGTTCTCCGCGCCCCTACCAGTGACGAAAACTACATCCTACCCAGAGACAAACAAGGGCAACAAAACCTCAGCTGACTCCAAGGGCAGCCAAGTACTGATCAGTAAAGGACACAACAGAAGTAGAATCCAAGGTAACTTGTGGAAGGTGGCCCCAAGCCCCAAGGGCAGTACTTACAGGGCATCTAGGGAAGAGAGCCCTAGGCGCATGCAGCCCGAGTACCGTGGAATATTGTGCCTGGTTCACACACACCACCTGGAGAGACAGCCCACACCACAAGGCATAGAATTGAAACAAAACCCGAGCCAGAGGCACCCGACCAGTCAGTAATCAAATCAGCCAAAAACTGCCGGTTGGATCGCCGGTGCGGAGGGTCTGGGGCTCTCCCTTCCCCCTCCCGGGGAGGGAGGGGGTGCGCAGACGGAGGCGCAGCGACGTGATGACATCATGCTAGTTTCCTAATTTTGTTTGGGAAGTTCTGTCCACTCGTTCGGCTTCCGGTAGCAATATTTTCACCAGAATAGGGGTTTGTTTTGAGACGTCACCTGGGAAACATATACGGTTAAGTGCTCTGTTCTGTTTTAGTAATGTAGCATAATTTTTGTCTAGAAGAATATTGCTTTTAATTATTTAGCCATTGATTCACTAGTGTTATTCAAAGTGATTGCCATGTTAGATAGTATTGATATTACATGCCTTTAGTTTGTTTGTTAATTATATTATACTATATATATAAATTGTGCCTATGTTTATAACCTGGTGTTATATTTTTTCTTTCTTGTACTGTATCACGGGGCACCCTGTTATATCATATTTAGATACAGTCAGTGTCCCTAGACTATACTTAACACTGTACCCGATATTACGAGCAGTGTGTACGAACAGTAACAGACTGTCCAATCTTTGGACAAAGAAATGAAATGGGACAGGCCGTCCGCCAGGACGTTGGACACTCCCCAGAAATGATCCGCACGGAGAGCCAAACCCTGAGAAGACAGCAGATGAGCCACAAAGAGGCAAGGACCGAAGAGAATCCCCTCAGGTCAGGAAACGGACCACCGGAAAACAGTCCGAATGGAGCCGAATAGTCGAACCCCGAGTGACCGAACCCTCTGAAACGAAAACAAAACCGCCGCGAACTACCGCACTGTGCTGTGAGCCCGATGGATAGATGGAACTCATCGCCCATGGCCGGCCTAGCGAGCACTGGTCACAAAGCCCCAGTCATGAGTAGACTCATCCGTGAACACATCGAGCGAGAGATCAGGGAGGTGCAAAGGCACTGAACCCTGAAAAACCCAAAGAGGAAGCCGGTGACGCAGCAACTGACTCCTAGCGTGTTGCAGCAACCGAAACCTAGTATGCATTGTGGGTGCTGCCTGTTCTCTAACAGTAATGACACCAGAATAGTACTGGAGAACGAACAGGGAACACGACTCGCAAGACTCTGGGTCAAGATGTCGTTGACCCAACAGGCAGCACGACGGAGGCAAAAGAGTTGAGTGTCACCCTGAGACAAGGGCACAGCAACCAACGAACCCGCCCAAACAGAACTGGAACCCGGAAGACGTATCCATTGGTCCACCGAGCCCCGACAGGGTTTTCCAGGGCCCGTAGGGTGTCGACTACGGGAAGCCCGGGCAAGGTGCTGCTAACCGGTTAAAACACAAAGCAAACAAGGGGACAATACAAGGGTCGCAAGGGTACAACACTGAAACCCTTGCAACGTGTACAATCACAGGGGCCTAGCAGAGGGCCACCAAAATATTATCAGTGAAACTATAGCCACACTAGGCAGACACCCAACAGGCAAATTGAAACAAAAATGATATAAAAACCCCACAAAAGTACAGCGTCCCCAGAAAAAAACAGGAACCGGCCGCTGTGTAGGTAGGCAGGCTGCACAACACTTTGATGCCCTAAAAAGCACGACACCACTTCCTTCCCAAGGCAAAACAAGAGGCCCCAAAACCCCAGCTGGCCCCAAGAGCGAAGTAAATGCCAAGCAGCAAGAACCTCCACAGAAATGATTCCCGAACGCCCCGGGGAAGACAACTCTAACCAGACAAGGGCAGTATTCACAAGGCGCTTAGGGAAGGAAGCCCCTAAGCCCATGCAACCCCAGTACTGATCTCAGTACTGGTCCAAATTCCAGTTCCTGTACATCTTTACTAAGCTAGTACTAAGACAGCTCCAGCAGGGAAAAGAAAAGCAGGACCGAAGGCAAATGCCCACGAGCACACAAATCCTCAACCACTAGTGACGCCGAAAGGGAGGGAACCTATGTGTGAAGCTGCACCTGACCGACATCACAAGGATGTACGGGAGCGAACAACCACGCACTGAGGTGCAAACTCGCCCTATAGGTAAACCTGAACAACCGTAGTAATCTCCTGCCATTCCATCGCACGGGTCTGACAGAACGAATGCCATGCCCCCAACGAAAAGAAAGGAAAGTTTGCCAACCAGGAAGACTCTGGCACCTCATAACGCACCCAGAAAGGACTCGAGGAGCCAAACTCGAAAGAAGAAGGATCCATTACCAAGGCGTAATCCGGATCACGCAAGAGGTAAGCCGAAAGGGCTTCCCACACCACCTTTGGAGTGATGCGGGAAGCCGAAAACCTCTCTGAAAAAGAGGGAACTGAAGAACCCAAAGGAATGCAGAAGCGAACTCGGGAAGGAGTCGCACTCATGTCTAATTCGTCCAGGGAGGTGAGGATAGGAAAACCCCTCCCCCTGTAACAACAAGTCCCGCCCCGAGGATACAACACCCAAACGAGGTCAAACAGGGCCCAAGCCCCCCCCCCCCTCCAAGTAAAGTCCTTCCCAGCCCCGGGAACCTTCACATCAGGACCCGGGGCCAAGCAATCATACAAACCCTCTGCCTCTGGAGAAAAAGCAGAGTCCGCCGGAAGAGCCGGGATGAAGGGGGCCCGCTGGTGCGACCCAAAGGTTCCAGCAGGAGGAATAGGCTCAAATGCCTCCGCCGCCGAACCGGAAGAGGCAATCCCAAAGCCGTCCGAGACTCATCACCAGGCAAATCCTGCCCCGACTTTGAAACCCTCAGACATTTGGGAACCGGGAGCAAGGAGGAGGGGGGAGGAGGATGAACCAGAGCAGGGGGAGGACTAAGGAGTGCAGATGAAACCAAAGTCGAGGCTACTAACACCCCCAAGTCCGGGTTTCTATAACAAAACCGGGGCAGCTGCGGGGCATCCGGAAAGGCAAGCAACCTAAATCGCGCATGCAATACAGAAGCTGCTTGCACCCGAATATCAATCTCATTGGACTGGGTGAATTGGAGTACAAGCAAGGAACACCACTCGCAGGATTCTGGGTCAAAGGTGTCACTGACCCAACAAGCAGCATGATGGAGGCAAAAAGGGTGAGTGTCACCCTGAGTCAAGGGGTCAGAGCAACCTTCAAACTCACACAAAGCTAGGTGGGATTCGGAGGTCTCTTCCATCAAACCATTGAGCCCCAATGGGGGTTTCCAGGACCCTTAGGCTGACTGCTAAGGGAAGCCCAGATGAGGTACTGCTAACTGATTATCCGGGAGCTAGCAAGCAAACAAACTAAGAGCTGAACCCCTGTGATGTGTACAAGCACGGGGACCTAGTGGAGGGCCACCAAAATCATACAAGTGGTCCTACTGCCACACCAGGCAGACCCCCACCAGACAAACCAATACAAAAACAAAAGAAAAACCCTGCAAAAGCACAATGTCTCCAGGTGAACAGAACTGGTCGCTATGTGTATATCAGACAGCAGCACAGTACCTCACACCCCCAGCCAGCGACAAAACTACCTCCTACCTAAGGGCAATCAGGAGTAAGAACCACCCCAGCTGAACCCCAAGGGCGGGCAATAACCGAGCAGCAACAGAACCATGCGGAGGTAGTTCCCGAACGGCTCAGGGAAGATAACCCTGAGGCCGCAGGGCACCTAGGGAAGGTGGTGGCCCTAGGTGCAAGCAGCCCTAGCACTCTTGTGTTACTCCTGGCTTGCACAACACCAACACTGAACAACAACACCGCTCTGCAGCACTGCTCAAAGAATGAAGCCAGAGTCGATCGACCGTCACCCTTCACAACAGCCTTCTGAACTGAGGAGAGTTTATGGCGTCGGGGTCTGGGATGCCCCCCCGTTTCCCTCCCAGGAAGAGGATGGGGGGGGATGCGCAGACAGATGTGCGACGTTTGTGGTGATGTCATACTTGTTTCCTTGTTTTTGATTGGGGAGTTCTGTTTGCTAGTTCAGCTTTTAGTTTGAAATTTTTGACCAGCAGTAGTTTGTTTTTTTAATTCCTACCTGTCTGGGTGCCTGACCTGGTAGATGGCAGACAAAGACTGCTTCCAATTACATGGGGTTGTCTTTAGGCCATTGCTCCTTGTGCCTCTCTTGAGGGGGGGCCAGGTTCTGGCTCTGGTCCCAGGTAGGCCTAGAACTCCTTCGATTGACTGTTGCCACTGTCTAATATATATACACATCAGACCGGTTTAGCTCTGGGGAGCCAAAGGGAACTCTCCACAGAACAACATACTGGAGCAAAAGATGCATAAGGAAATGCAAAACAGAACTAGTGAGGAGAAGAGGTGCCAAAGACACTATCAGAGAGTACTTAGTAAATACAAGACATCTAAGGCTGTTCAATACTCTCCAAGCAAGCAAAAGAAATATTGCTGGAAGAAAGGCAGACTTCTTAAAGAGGCAATTATTTAAGCTTTTGCAAGGCATGCCAAATAAGCTGAGTTGTAGTGGATATGTGCACCAAGCAATATACTGTTGGACCAGGTTATCATAGGTAGAGCATGGCCCCATGCCGGGCTTGGGAGGACAAAAACTCTCAGAACCCTCTCCAGATAAACTCCTAGTAAATGCCAGGTGGTGCCAGAGATTAGCTCAGGAGCTTCACTTCAGTTTATTAATATACCTTGTGCATTTAGGTCCCAACTGTCAGCTCTTGTAGGTACAGCAGAAGTGGGTGGTGGAGTGAACTCTGTAGGGGTGTCACTCTCATCAGTTGGTGGCACTGGACTGAATACCTAGTGTATTAATGAAAAATATTTTAATTTAAAAAATGGGAAAGAAACATAGGAGTAAAATGAATAATGCACATAATAAATAAATAAATAAAATAAATAAATATATAAATAGAAACAACTGTAGAGCACTAAAAAAATCAGCGTTGAACATAATGAAACGCCATTTTCTGGGTGAGTCCCGGAGGCTCCCTGGAGCTTTACCGGCTGATGTGTATATATATATTAAACTGTGGCAAGAGTCAATCGATGGAGTTATAAGCCTACTGGGGACCATGAACCAAAACATGGCCTCCTCAAAGAGGCACGAGGAGCAATGGCCCATAGACACCCCCATGTAGTTGAAAGCAGTCTAAATCTGCCATCTACCAGGTGGGGCATCAAGAAAGGTAGGAATCACAAAACAAACTACAGCTGGTTAAAAACTACAAATCGAAAGCCGAACGAGCAAGCAGAACTCCCCAAATCAGAAAACATGCAAACAAACATGACATCACCGCCCTGCTGTCTGCGCAGCTCCCCACTCCATGGGAGGTGGAACGGGGGCCCCAGACCTCCCACAATGGCTATCCAACCCCAGTTCAGAGGCTGAATATTAAAAAATGTGAAATACTGCCAACCAGAGGGAGGGAGGGAGGGATGCCAGGGGACCTCTAGGTCTCACCCACAAAATGGCATTTCATTACATTCAATGCTGTTTTCTGTGGAGAGCCCCATCGGTTCCCCGGAGCTCCTTATGCAAAGACAAAAACAAGAAGGACTTACCCGGGAAGTGGCTGCCACTCGAAGTCGAGACAATTGGCTGCAATTTGCGACCCAAGGCTACACACAACCGAGAAGGGCCAGGAACATTAATGAGGTACCGTGCGGCCAGGACTCTGTTTGACCTCAATAACCCCGTGCCTGAATGTCAGCCACAGACATATTACCAAAAACAGCAGCCGAAGTCACGAACTTATGAATGTCATGGGCACAGGGATAGACCATAGGCTAGCTAGACCGAATAATCCTGCGGACGACCTGGGAGACCTACGCCCTGGAACAGGGAGAAGAAAAAACAGAGTCAAGTCAACAAAATGGGTCCCCTGCAACAAAGGCCGTGGCGTGCAAGCAATGACAAAAAGTCGCAACCAGACACAAAATATGATGAACTCCATGCCTAACTAACGATTCATTAATAACCCAAGGACCCCTCTGAAAAGAAGCAGTGTCTTTCTTCACCAGAAAAGAAGGAGACAGCTGCAAACGAACAAAACGACCACCAGGACCGAAAGAGCAGAAACCCCTGCACTGAAGGAAAGCGTGAAATTTCTCGAGCATGCCATCGACCCCCAGAGGCCAATGCAAACAAGAAAAGAGCCTTAGAAAAACAGTCCTGAACCATAGGGGCCACCACAAATCGAGGAGAAGAGAGAAAAGAAAGCACCCGGTCCAATGACCAGGACAGGTCAGGCGGCGCATGAGCAGGCCGGAGAAGAAAAAATGCCAGAGAAAGCTTGCGGAATGGAGCAGAAGTGAACCCACCCCGAATGCAAGCTGAAGCGGCTCCGCCAGCGCCACATGATACGAGGACATCCCCGAAGGAACCAGAACAGCAGCTCAAGCCAGATCTGAACCGACTGATAGACTAGACCAGCACGATGACGGTCAGACTCCAGCACTGCTGCTCGAGCAACTGACGAGTGACCCAGGTACCCTCCAAAACAAGCCAAAGGAGGAACTGCAGCAGCAACAACGCCGCTGGAAGGATAGGCAAAGAAGTAACTAAGAGTCTCACACGAGACTCAGCCAAGCCCAAACCTGAAAGGGAATCAAATGGGACTTCATCCAGTTCACCAAGGCACCCAGGCAATCACCAAGCAGTTGCTGCTGGAGGGATGGACAAAGAAGCGGTCTAAGAGTCTCACACGAGACTCAGCCAAGCCCAGACCTGAAAAGAGAACCAAATGGGACTTCATCCAGATCACCAAGGCACCCAGGCAATCACCAAGCAGAAAAAGAATCCTGTGTAGGTAGCCCCCGAACAGTTTGTGGAAGTTAATCCTCGTGCCTCTCTGAAGGGAGCAGGTTCTAGTTCATGGTCTCCGGTAGGCTTCAAGGGCGCGTGACAGCTGGGTGGACAGCGCTTTGGATTCACAGTCCTGAGGTTCCGGGTTCGATTCCCAGTGGAGGCGGAGACAAATGGGCAAAATGTTTCTTTCACCCTGATGCCCCTGTTACCTAGCAGTAAATAGGTACCTGGGAGTCAGACAGCTGCTACGAGCTGCTTCCCAGGGGGGTGTGCAACAATAAGGAGGCCTGGTCGAGGACTGGGCCTCGGGGACGCTAAAGCCCTGAAATCATCTCAAGATAAACTCAAGATAAGGCTAAGAACTCTATTGACTCACTGCTGCCACAGTCGAATAAATACACATCAGCCCGGTATAGCTCCGCAAAGATGAAGGGGGTATCTCCACAGAAAACCAGCATTGAATGTAATGAAATGCCATTTTCTGGGTGAGCCCCAGAGGCTCCCAGGAGCTATTGAATTGATATATTAGTCTAGGGCATTAGTCAGTGAAGTTCAGCCTACTGGGGACCACGAGCCATAAACTGGCCCCCCCCTTCAGAGAGGCACAGGAAGCAATGGCCCCTGGAACACCTCCCCTCCCCCACATGGACAAGGGAAGTCTGCTATCGACCAGGGTTAGGTACCCAGAAAGTTAGGCATGACGAAACATACCCCACTTGCTAAGAAAATTGCAACCGAAGACCGAACAGGGAGGCAGAACTCCCCCAACTCTCAAGGATACAAGCAAACATGTAAAAGTCATACACAGCCGCTGCGCTGCTTCTCTGCACAGCCCTCCCCTCCTTGGAAGGGGGAGCCCCGGACCCCCCACGACGGGTGAGCATCAAAAGCAAAACTAAATTACTGAACGGAGGGAAGGAGGGTGCCAGAGAGCCTCCAGGGCTCACCCAGAAAATTGCATCCCATTACATTCAACAGCTGAAATTGAACCTCATTGAAGTGAAACGTCTAAACGGGGATAGAAATGAAGAAAGGAATTCCTTTTTCTACAAAGTGTTAAGGACTGGAAAGCTAGCGAAATGGTACATAAAGACAAAGCAACAAAATCATTAGAGGAAGGGGGTGTAAAAAACAATGGAAAGGGGAACATGTGCCTGAAAATAGTATATACCATCTCACCAACATAAATGGAGTGAGATAAAGAAGTATTGGAGTTGAAGGATATAATTCAGCTCACGGTCCAAGATATTGTCGCATTAACAGAGATGAAACTTGAAGAAAATATTTTAAATGAGGTTGTATTCCCAAGGGGTTACTCAGTTTGGATATGTGATAGGAAAACTTGTAAGGGGGTATTAGCGGCTGCACTGGTGAAAGAACACCTGCAGGTAAGAGAGTTCAATTAATAATTGAAAACCCTAGAGATGTTAACATAATGGCAATGCAGGTCTGGAATCAGGATGATAAGCTGATAATTGTAAATGCTTACAGCCCACCAGCAAGCAATACATGGACACACACTTTTAATTAAAAAACCAGCGATGAATGTAATGAAACGCCATTCTCTGGGTGAGCCCCGGAGGCTCCCTGGAGCTTATCGGGCTAATGTATGTTATATTAGACCGAGACATTAACTAAGGAGTTCAGACCAATCAGGGACCAGCGTCAGAACCTGGCCCCTTCAGACAGATTTCAGGGAGCAAAGGCCCTGGAAAACCCCCTTGTGGTTAAGGTTTTCCTTATATGCCATCGACTGGGGTTAGGCACCCAGAAAGGTAGGCATAACAAAACAAACCCCACATGGTAAAAAACTAAAACACAAAACCGAACAGAGGTGGCAACTCCCTACGCTCCCAAGGAAACACGCAAACAAGCAAACATCACACTATACTGCCGCGCTGATCGTCCGCGCAGCCCTCCCCACCCTGAGAGAGGGAGGCGGGGTCCCGGACCTCACCACGCCGGCTGCCTAGCATCAGTTCGGAGGCTAAGCTTCAACCAATGCGAAAAAAACGCTGAACGGTGGGAGGGAGGGTTGCCAAGGAGCCTCCAGGGCTCACCCAGAAAATGAAGTTTCATTACATTCAATGCTGGTTGTCTGTGGGGAGCTCCTACGGCTTCCTGAAGCTTCATACCCAAAGAGAAAGAAAAAAAAGAGCTGACCCGGGAGGCGGCCGCCACAAACTCTGCAATGCAAAGCTGAGAGCAATGCGAAGCCGAGAACAACAGGCTGCAACCTGCAACCCAAGGCAAGACAAGAACGCACGGGTAGAAACATGCACAAAGAACGGGTGGCCAGGAACCTATGCAACCCTCAAATCCTCGCGCCCAAAATGAGCCCTAGACGTCACCAACAAAGCAGCGAAAGCTACAAGCATCCGAACAGCACGGGCGCAAGGATAGACCGCAGGCTGGAAGACTCAAAAACTCTGCGGACGACCTGGGAGACCTGTGCCCTGAAACGGGGAACGAGGGGAACCAGATCAACCCAAAGCGCATCCCTAGACACGGTACGCAGGTAACGGCAAAGAGGCACAACCAGACAACACAGGACGCACCCCCGGCCGAACCAACCAAGAATCAATAACCCAAGGACCCCCTCTGGAAAGCAGCAGTCTCGGCCGTCGCCAGAAGGACAGAGAAAGGCTGTAAACGTACAAAACTACCACAAGTACCAAAGAGCAGAAACCTCTGTACCGGAAGAGCCGGAAGCTCCTCGACTCGACCCACAGAGGCCCATGCCAACAAAATATGGCCTATGAAAACCAAACTTGAACCAAAGGGGCTACCACAAACTGAGGAGAAGAAGATAAGAGGGCACCCTGATCAAGGACCAGGACAGCTCAGGCGATGCATGAGCTGGCCGTAGGTGGAACAAAACATGAGAAAGAGTACAGAACGGGGCAGATGTGACGTCCACCCCGAACGCAAGCCAGAGCGGCTCAGCCAGTGCCACATAAAACGAGGCGACAGTAAGAAACATCAAATAACT